CGTTCCCATGCTTGCCTTTGTTCAGATGGAGCACGCTCTCTCTCTCTCTCTCTCCTCTCTCTCTCTCTCTCTCTCTCTCTCTCTCTCTGGCGCATGCGCATTCCCGCGCTTGCCTTTGTTCAGATGGAGGGGGAATAAGCAGCGGAGGAGCGTTGGATGGGGGGGATAAGGGCAGAGGAGGGAGGGAGAAGGGGTGGAGGAGGGGGGGAGAAGCGGCAGGGTGGGGCGGAGAAGCCGCGGAGGCGGCAGGGAGAAGCAGCGGAAGAAGCGGAGGAAGGGGCAGACGCTTTTTTTTTTTTTAAGCGGCGAAGGAGGGGGGAGAAGGGTGTTTTTTTTTTCTTCCCCGTAAGCGGCACATGTAGCGGACCTCTGGTTGGCCTGTCAGACCAGCCCCTTGGCCTGTTCTCACAGGCCTGTGTTCTATTCGGGGGCAGTCCAGTCCGGTCCAGGCCGGTACCTCTGTCGGTACCAGCCAGTCCAGTCCAGTCCTGTCAGTCCGCTAGGGTATACCCCAGCAGTTGTCTGTTTTCGAGATCATTCTACACTGGCACAGTTTTGGAGTACGTGCGCTGGAGTCTTGCGTGGGAGCTGCGCTGTGCTGTCTCGCTCCTCCCTCATCCTCCATCTCCATCAGCATCCCTAGCGGAGCACCACACCTGGTGGGTCCGCTACATTGGTATCGGAGCGGGAACGTTTCCCGCTCCCACCGACCACCCCGTACAGCTGGAAACACAGCCAACACCCCGTACAGGTGGGAAAACAGCAAACCCCGACAGCGGTTTTTTTGGCTGTTTGTCAGGTGTTTTCCAGCAAAAAGGAGGGAAAAAGCAGCGCCCGCGGGGAAAAGTGTTTTTTCGCTGTTTTTTGAGTGTTTTCCAGCGAAAAGGAGGGAAAAAGCAGCGCCCGCAGTGAAAAGGGTTTTTTCGCTGTTTTTCGGGTGTTTTGCAGCGAAAAGGAGGGAAAAACAGCAAACCCGACAGCGGGTTTTTTCGCTGTTTTTCGGGTGTTTTCCAGCGAAAAGGCCAAGGCCGCCACACGCGCGTGCGCGCCACGCGCCCACACTGCCCCGCTGCCCTGCCCCACGCACACGCTGCCCCGCTGCCCCGCCGAGCCCCGCCGCGCCTCGCCCCGCTCCCCTCCCGGATTTACATTATCAAGATCCGGGATTTTTGCTGCTGCTGGGGTTTAAACCCAGGCACCTGCTGGGCCATGTGTGTTTGTAAGCACCCTGATAACACACTCGCCACAGAGTGTAGATGTCCCTGTAGTGGGGGTTGATCAAGATCTCAGCCCCCTCTCTCCTCCAGCTGGCTTGCTGCAGCAAAGGCCAAGACCCTCCTGGTCTTGGTGTACCTTGTGCCCTTGGCGACACCAAGGGCCAGGTATCACTCCTCTCTCTCCCCTCCCTCTACTAACCCACCCTCCCTACCTCTCGTCTCTCCTCTTACTCACCCCTTCTTTTTCCCCCACCTTCTACTGCATCTTTTCTCTCCTCCTTTTACCTTCCCCACCCCACCTTTCTCCCACCACCCATTCTTTTACTCTCCTTTCTTTATTTCTTTTCTTTTCTTTCCGCCTTTTCTCCTTGCTTCTTGATCCCTCTCTACCTTTCCCCAACCCTCCTCTCCCCCACCTACCACCACATCATCCCTCCCACCTTCCACTTCCATATTTTCTCTCTCCCACCTATTTCTTTCTTTTCTCCTTCACTTTTTCATTCCCCTTTCCCCCTACTTCGCTTCCTTTTGATTTATCTTTTCTCTTTTTTCCAAAAATTTGAATTATTATTATTATTATTATTATTATTATTATTATTATTATTATTATTTTAGTGGTGATCACAACTGTTTATATTCTTCTCTCAACTTCTGTTTTGTTTTTTTACCTTCCACTACCTACTCCTAAAACTATCTAGAGGGGACCCCTGCAAGCATAGTTTTCCTCTCCCTGTGAAGTGGAGATTTCATGTTGCCCCTTGCCCCTAATCGTTAGGGTATAGGGTTGGGGCCGCCAGTGGGGGTCTGGCTAACACAAAGACCGAGACCTGCCAGTAGCTGTGCCTCCCTTTCTCATCGTCCCCCACCCTTTATCTTCTTCCCCACCTTTTTTTCTCATTTTTTGATTTATTTCATTTATTTTTTTATTTATTTTGAAAATTCGATTTTCTTTACGACAACCCTAAATCTGATTAGGTGATAGTCTTTCTTGCTTTCGGCACACGTTTTGACCCCGTGGGGGTAACAAAGTGCCGCCGAAATTTTATGATCTTCTCTTACTTAGTTTTTTTTTGGACACACTTCGACCCCATGGGGGTAATGAAATGCTGTCAAAATTTTTGAAAAGTCAGATACTCCATTTCTCCCCACCTCCTCATCCACTTATTTACTTATTTATTTATTTATCTATTTATTTATTATTTATTTTTTTAATTTTTGATTTTTTTTTATTTGCGGCAGTTTGAAACCTAGTGTGATTATCTTGGTCTCTCCTTCCCCCCTTGGCACATCCTTGACCCCATGGGGGGTAGGGAGATGTTGCCGAAAATTTCAAAAAAATAAATCTTGTTTTTCTTTTCACATTTTGTTCACTTCTTCCCTTAATTGTTTTTATTATTTATTTTCATTTGTTTTTCTCTTGAAATCTCGCTGCTTATTTATTTTTCTCCCGCCTTCCCCCCCTATGCTTGCTATTTTATTTTCTTGATTAGGTCACTGGTACCCTACCCTAACCACTCAAATTTCGGTTATGGTTTTCTTAGGGTTTTTCTGGGGTTTAGGGTTCTTCAAAACCCACCCTACTTCCCTTTCCTCTTCGGGCACCCTGGGGCCTGGACCCGAACCACCCCTCCCCCTTTGACGGCATCCACGCTAGCCTTGCTAGCGCCATCCACCGCTTTCTACCGCGGACCTCCCCTTATGTCCTCCGCTCACGCGGACCTCTCTTGGCCCCTTCCAGTCCGTCCCGTCACCTCCCCATGGCTGACAGTGTGTCACACGCCGCCGACGCGGCGACGACCACGGCACAGGGCTCCACACCCATGCCGACGGACCAGGGCCACCAGCCCCAGGGGGATCTGCACACCCTCCTCACCTCCCTCCTTGCGCCCATCCAGACGCAACTCGCGACCCTCGCGCCCTTACAGGCGCAGGTGGCGACCCTTGCTGCCGGCATGCGGCAACTCCAAGACACTGGTCGTCCTTCCTCTCCTCACCCTCTCTCTTCTTCTGGCTCCCAGTCCGGGTCCCCCGTTCCCCGACAAAGTGGCCACGATGGAGCTTCCTCCTCTGTCGTCTCCGACCCGACCATCTTGGTGACCGTCCATGCCCCTAGCACGACGGCCGCCACGAGTCAAGCCCTCCCTCAGTCTACGGCAGCACCCGCCCACATTCCAGTCACTACGGCCACGGGAGCACAACCCGCTACCATGGTCTCAGTTTTTCCAGGTGCCCCGCTTCTCCCCCCCCTTCGCACGACCGCAACACCACCTGGCTCCCCCCCTTTGGGATGCCCCGCGCCGCTTGTGCGTCCACTTTCTCCACTCTTCCTCCTGCCACTCCTCGCTCGATCCACGTCCAACGTCTCGAGGACGAGCTTGCCCAGATCCGGGCCGACCTCGCCCTCTTCCGCCTTCAGCCACCCCCACCCTCACAGGTGGCCGCGCCTTCGGGCGCACCCCCTACCTCCTCTACCCTTCCTCCCATGCAGGCTCGCTTCCCACGCCCTGCACCCTATCCAGCCCCATCCTACCTTCTTCCTACTCCCGCGGTTGCTGCGACCTCTTCTACCGCAGCTCCCTCGCAGCCTGCCGCAGGTGCCCCCGCCGCTCCCCCATGCGGCCCGGGCGCACTGTCAGCTGCGCCCCTTTCTCCAGGACCTGCGCCGACTTACTCAGCCGTGACACAGGCCTCTGCTCCTCGATCCCCTCGCCGCCAAAACAGTGGCGCACCACTCATCCGCTTGTCGGACATTGCCTTGTATGACGGTACAGGCATACGCGTGTCTCGGTGGCTGCAGTCTGCCACCAACACGCTCCAGCTCATGGGTGCCACACCCGACACGTGGGTGGGTCACGTCTCCACGCGCCTGCGTCGCGGTCCTTTCGAGGCTTGGGAGGATTTCTACGTACACTCCCTCCGCGCGGGTCGAACCCCGACCTTCATGGATTTCCAGGCGTTCCTCGAGGATCGCTTCGGAGCTCGGCATGACGTGACTGACGCCTTCGAGCGCGTCGTCACTACACGCTGGTCCGACTCTGGTGGCGCAAATGACCTAGATCGCCACATCCAGGTCTTTCAGGACGCACGCCTCATTTGTGACGTGGCGTTACTCCCCAAGGCTGCCCTTATCGATCGTTTCTTGGCCAGCCTCCCGCTCGAGTACCGCTCCGAGTTATGGTGGTAAGAGTTCACATCGGCCTCGCAGGCTTAGGAGGCCGCTAGGGACCATCAACGGATGCGGGTCCGTCTTCACCCCGCCTCCTCCTCCCAGCCCCAGTGTACTGGTTACGCCTCCTTCTCCTCTCACGGCACTTCCCAGCGTCGTTCCCCTTTCCGCGGTCACCCCCGCCGTCCCGCGTAGCAGGGCCGCCACTTTTCGCACCGCTTCAGCGCGCTCGAGTATGGTGAGCAGGACGCTGGCGCTTCGCTGTCACCAGAGGGTGACCATAGCGACGACCTCGACCTCGACGAGGCCGTTAACCACCACCTGGAGGACCCAACTCTCCCTATGGCTGAGCGTCTCCAGCTCATTCTCTCCACCCTTTCCCGAGCACGCAGCCGCCCTGGTTACGCTGGCGCATCGCCCCCCGAGGTCCCTTAGCAGGACCTCCCTCAGGGCTTTGTCCCTCCTCGCGGTGTCCTTTCCGCTGAGGAGTGCACGACTATTTTCGGCCAGCGTGGGTGTTTACGAAGCCGTCAGGACGGTCATACCTCCTTGCGGTGCCCTTACACCACCACCCTTGACCGCCACTACGCCGACCTTTCCCGCCAGCGTCGTGCTCAGCCCCCCCCCGACGCCTCGCATCCCCGCGGCGCCTCCTAGCCACGGTGCAATCTACACCTGCGCCCTCCTCAGTAGTCGGCTTCCCGACATCCCCGTCGCGGTTTGCCCCTCTCGCTACTGCAGTTGAGGTCTCGCAGGATCCGACAGAGTGTACTCAACCCTCTGCCTCAGTACCATCTGCGCCTCCGCAGATCACCGTCTCCCCTCCTACCCCACCGCAACTACCAATGCGTCGAGCCATTCGCTCAGTCCGTTGCAGCTAGCAGCTTGCGACTCGCGAGGACGTTGTGTCCTCTCTTCTGGACTTGAGCATGCTCCAGGCTTGCCAGGAGCGACTCACCCCCCATGTCGCCGCTCTGCGTCGCCTTCTCACCATCCTCTCTGATCCTGATCGCACCCTCCCGATTATTCCAATACGACTCGGGACCTCCACGAGGGTGTACTCAGCGCTGTGGGATTCCGGTTCTCAGGGTGACTTCATTCACCCACATGTGGTGAAAGAAACCCGCTTACCCACGACAGGGTCTCCGACTCCCATCTCCGTTACCCTAGGGGATGAAAAGACCCAGCGCTTCTTCGATGAGACGGTCACCGACCTCCGTTACCCGAGGGGATGACAAGACCCAACACTTCTTCGATAAGACGGTCACCGACCTCCCCTTCTTCCTCACTCTCGAGCCGACTGATCGTTCCCCGGYGTCTCGTCGCCACTGCTCCTCTGCACATTTCGATGTGATGGAGACGGGGTACGACTTCATTCTCGGCACTCCGTGGTCTCGTCGGTTCCGCAACACCGAGGCCGATTGGGCGACCAACACTCTCGTTCTCAAAACGAAGTGTGGACAGATGTATCGCGTACCTTTCATAGGTACCACTGCGACACCACACCCCGATCCTCCTCCCCAGAGCCTTCCGTGCCCACACCATCTCCTTCTATCACTGTCCCCTCGCCTCGACAGTTCGCCCACTTCATCCGACAGGACGGCGTCACCTTCTTTATTGTGAACGTGACGGATCTCTTACACTATGATATTCCCTGTCCCGACGCCAAGCTCATCCTTCTGGAGCCAAATCCTCCTTCTATCTTCATGGTTCCCATCTCTACTTTCGTCCCTCCGCCGTCCGTCAAGTCCACCCCGTCGTTGCGGGCTGACGCTGACGCTGAGGAACTCGCACGATATACGGCTGACCTGGAGCCCGCAGTTCGTGACCTCATTCGAGAGTACCACGACGTTTTCCCATCATCGTTCTCGTATGCTGGCATCCCACCGATGCGTGATGTCGAGCACTCCATCCAGCTTGTGCCTGACTATCGTGTTCACCACCCGACACCGTACAGACTCTCGATCCCTGAGGCCACCGAACTCAAGCGTCAGTTTGAGGAGCTCCTGAGACTGGGTTTCATTAAACCCAGCAACTCCCCGTGGGGTGAACCCGTCCTCTTTGCTCGCAAAGCGGATGGAACTCTCCGTCTCTGCATCGACTATCGCGGCCTCAACCGCTACACGGTTAAGAACAGCTACCTCATGCCTCGTTCTGACGAGCTGTTCAACCGCCTAGCAGGCAACCGCTTCTTTACGAAGATTGATCTTCGTAGCGGTTACCATCAGATCCGCGTCGCTGCAGCCGACCAGCCGAAGACAGCGTTCCGATCGCGCTTCGGCCACTACGAGTTCACGGTGATGCCATTCGGCCTCACCAACGCACCCGCTACCTTTCAAAGGGCGATGAATGACATCTTCAAGGACATCTTGGAGCAATACGTTTTCGTCTACCTCGACGATATCCTGGTCTACATTCGTACCCTTGTGGAGCACCTCAGACACCTCTGCGACGTCCTTGACCGCTTGCGCAGACATGGCTTCTATGCCAAGTTGAGCAAGTCCCGCTTTGCCCAGCACAAAGTGAATTTCTTAGGACACTACGTGTCTCACCAGGGTCTCCACATGGACGATGCAAAGATCACTGCTATCGCGGAGTCGCCCGTCCCCACATCCGCCAAGCAGCTTTGCAACTTCCTAGGCCTGACCAGCTACTATAGTAATTTCATCCAAGGATACGCTAGGCTTGGACACCCCTCCACGAGGACGCCTTCCGCGGCCTCAAGAAGGCAGTGACATGCACACCGGTTCTTCACCTACCCGATTTTGATTGCCCTTTTATCCTTACCACTGATGCGTCAGACTTTGTTGTAGGAGAAATGCTTTCTCATGTTTTCCCCTCCTCTCCTGATTCCTCTCATCCTCGTATCCTTCGCTTCCCACCACCTACCCCTACCACTACTTCCCAACTGACGCCTACTCGTCAAACTACTGACGAGCCTTCTATTGATTATTCTCCTACCATCGCCGAGGACGGCACTGTCGAGTCTCGCTCAGGTGATTGTCCGATAGCCTTCTACTCCCGTCAGCTTCTGCCTGCCGAGATAAACTACACTGCTGATGAACGTGAGGTTCTCGCAGTAGTTTATGCCGCTCGGCACTGGCGTCACTACCTGCACGGAGCACCATTCACGGTGCGCACGGACAACTCTGTTGTCCAGGTTTTTCTGACAAACCGAAGCTCACTCCTCGACAGGCTCGCTGGTGGCGCGACCTATCCGAGTTTAGTTTCACCTCTGAGCACATCAAGGGTGAGACTAATCAGGTCGCAGATGCCTTCTCCCGGCGCCTTGACCACGACCAGGAGCAGATTCACCTCTCTTCCATCTCGGTCACCACCGTCCACCACTCGGTGATCAACGGGTTTCGCACTCAGTACCGTCACTGCCCCGACTATCGCGACATCCACGCGACCCTTCGGAGTGGCAAGACCGTCTCGAACTACTCTCTGGGGAACAACGGTCTTGTATACTGGCACGGTTCACAGGGCACCAGAGAGCCCCGTATTTGCGTTACCTCCACTGGACAGCTACGTGTCCGAGCAGTAGCAGAGTTCTATGACCAGGCAGCCGCCGGTCATATGAGCTTCCACAAGACGTTGGCTCGTGCGAGCCGCCTGTACGTCTGGCCGAAGCGCAAGGACTTTGTGAAGGACCACGTCGCAGAGTGTCCCACCTGTCAGGAGATGAATAGTGAATATCACTTGCCTCATGGTTTGCTCCAGCCTCTTCCTATCCCAAAGGGTCGTTTGCAGTCTATCTCAATGGACCTTATAGATCCTCTTCGTCCCCCGACCCCTCGCCATCATGATGCTATCCTGGTCGTCGTCGAGCGCTTCACGAAGCGTGTACGCTTTGTTCCGTGCCGCTATGCCATCAGTGCACATGAGATCGCCGAGATCGTGTTTGACCGAGTCGTGCGTGACCACGACTTACCCCTGAGCATCATATTTGACCGTGACTCGCGCTTTACCAGCCGATTCTGGAGACGGCTCTACGAGGTTTACGACACCCATCTCCGCTTCTCCTCGTCTTACCATCCTCAAACTGATGGGCAGACCGAGGTCATGAACAAGACTCTCGGAGATATTCTCCGAAAGATTGTTCGTGACGACCAGTAGTGGGATCTCAATCTTGCCCACGCGGAGATAGCCTACAACCACGCCGTCTCGCCAGCCACGGGGATGTCGCCTTACTATTGCGACCTCGACTATCACCCTCGTGTTCCCGTGGACTTCCTTCGACCGTCACAAATGCACCCAGGCACGAGTTGTTCCGCGCTGGATGATTGGGTTGCACACATGACGTCGATCATGAAGACCGCACATGAGCACATAGCCGCTTCCCAGACTCGCATGGTAGCATGTGCGAACCGATGCAGGATGGATCATTCATTCAAAGTCGGTGATGATGTGCTTATCGACGCCCGCCACTTATAGCTCGAAGCGGACACGCTTCGCAAGTTTCGGGGTCGCTTCTGTGGACCATGCCGCATGGGCGTCGGATCTGATACGGTTTTTAGTCCGGTCAGCTTTCGTGTGAAGTTGCCCGACTACCTACGCTAGGCTCGTGTGCACGATGTCTACCAGGTCTCGTTACTACGTCCTTACCGCAGACCGTCTGAGCGTTTCGCTGGACGACCATACGATCGCCCTCCACCCATCATGGTGGACGGCCACGAGGAGTTCCTCGTTTCAGACATCATTCGTCGCCAAGTCACCGACGACAACCCTCCCCACATCGAGTATCTCGTACGTTGGAAGGGTTACCCTGATGAGGAGGCTACCTGGGAACCCCTCGAGCACTTGCATCACGCTCACATGTTGGTGCGTGCCTACGACCGTGCTCGTCGTGCTGGGTCGACTGCTCCTGCTCAGCCCACTGACCCTCCTCCTTATCCCCCGACTGAGGAGACCGCTGAAGTCGAGCCTGCTCCATCTGAGGCAGACCTTCAGCAGCAGTCGGATGCTTCTAAGCGTCCACAGCGCACTCGTCGTCGTCCTTCTTGACACAACGATTGACTCTGACTTACCTTCCCACGCCCTTGACTTCTCAATACTCCATCCACTCCAGTCTTGCTACTTTAGCTCGTCGACGTTGCGGCTCTTCCTCGACGCATTCAGGACTTCTCATCGTGGACGTCATCGACAGCTTCATGGACTTCGTCACGATCAACTCTGCCTACTTCAGACGTCATCACTCCCTTACCACTTCACCCTATAAAGTACCCTGCTTGTGTCGCATGATGGTCTCCCTTTAGCCGGGTTCCTCTGAGTTGGGCTCTCCCTTGGTATACGCATAGACATCGGGACCGTAGCATTGCCCTGGCTTCCCAGCTTATGGATCTAACTTCGACCTCCCTCACTTTAGGAGTCACTTGCATGATTCCCTTACCCATCACCTTTCTACCCGCTGTTGGCCCTCACGCCCTAATTAGGCAGCCCCGCATGCTTCATCTAGGTGCGCCCAGTATACCAGGCTCCCTTGTTCCCTTGCATGGTTGACCCTCCATAGCGGTCACCCCTTAGTCGAGCATTACCCGCCCTGATGGTCTATCTATTAGGGTCATTGGTTCTGTTCGCTCCCAGTTCCCTACCCTCATTGAGCCTGATGACATGT